TGTGATTTATTTGCTAATGCAGTCAAATTTTATTTTTCGTTCAAATCTTTTGATTGAGTTTTTAACTTTTTCCATATATTGTCTTTATATAATCTAAAATGACTAATTTTAATATTATAAAAAAATATAAATTATATATTTATGATAATAATTATAAATCTTTATTATAAATTTAAATATTTTCAATTTTTTTAATAAGAGCAATAATTTTTATTAAAAAATTGATTAAGTACAATTTAATGAAAGGTCAGTCAAAACTGAAGGTGAGAGTGCTGAGACGAGTAGTTGTCTGTAGGATGGGCATAGGTTTGGGTCAGGTTTCGTCGACACAATCCGACTTTATCCGAAAAATATAAATTCTTCATCCGACTTAAATTCAATCCGATTTTTTAAGATAAAACTTAAACTCGACTTGAAATAATAAAAAATATTATTTTTATTTAATAAAAATAATAATTTAATTGAAAAAATAATATATAGAGGGTATTATTATAATTATTTTTAAATATATAAGGTAAAATTACATTTTTTCCGGGTCAAGGCGGGTATTTTTTCCACCATAAACCCGAATCTGACCCGACTAGAATATCACAATTAAAAAAATCCGACCCAATCCGATCTGAACCCAAAATTAAAAAAAACGATTTAATTGAGTCGGATAGAATCAAAATCCATCATATTCGAGTCTCATGTCCATCCCTATATCTATGTAAGATGATGAAAAAAAAGGTGATTCTGGTGTGGGAAAGAATAGGAGGGAGTCCAAAATAAATTTAGCACGGATATATAAGTGGATCCCACACAGTGGAAGAAGCGGTGGGAATCCATCATTAGAAAGACTATGCTATCATTTGCACGTGTCTACGTACCCTATTCCAAATTCCATACCACATTAAAGTACCTCATCAAATTCACTGTTAACTCCCCCATGGAATTCAAACTCAAAACTCCACTGCTCTACAACATTAATAAAGTTACTCCAATAATGGTAATTAGACGAAGAATTGATAATAATAGTAGTAGTAATAATAATAATAATAATGGTATTTCAGATGGTAAGCACCTTTGCATTGAAGTTTGTGTTGGTAATGCTTCTCGGCCCTTAGCATGTTATCCCACGTTGGGAGGAAAAGTCCTTTAGAAAGAGTATTTGAAGAGATTCTTTTACCCTTCTTTTACTAAATGTAATTACATATTTTTCTCATACGTGCGCGTTGTCATTGTTATCGTCCGTTTTACTAGTTAGTGGTCGTAGTCGTAAAAATATATTGACACATATTAAAACAAAAACATTTATAGGCGATTTATTAAAACATAAATATTTTTAATACACATAATATTATCTATTAATTAAAATAAATTCAAAATTAATCAACTGTAATCAAATGAATCTAGATAGTTTTGAGGCTAGATTCAACCCTTCATTGCAGCAGATAACATCTTAATTATCGATTTTATTCAGCTGTTATACTGCATCTTGATTGCAGCAGCAATAAGAAATGTGTGATTTGTGACTAGAATCACGTTGTGTGTTGGAAAATTGAGCCTATAAATAGATAGGGTTTTTAGAATTCTCGTATCATCTCACGCAACACAATCCACTTCCAATAAATCTTTTTTTTCTCAAAATCTTTATGAGAATACTTTCAAATATTTTCTAGCTTTCTAAAAGCTTCTATTTTTCTCGGTTATAAGAGAAGGGAAGTACCATTATTTGTCCATTGTGGCCTTCGGTGTACGAATTCACGAAGAGACTGAGTTAATCTTGAGGTATAACCGCCTATAATAGTGATTACACATATTGATGTGAATCCGTTTCTAAGACAGTAGTTAATACACTACGCGGTTATTCAATTACTTATTTTTTTTCAATTGTCCAACCAATGCTAACGGTTTGATTTTGCAATTTATATTTCATCAACAGTTTTTGTAGCCTATTGATCTCGTGGGTTCTTGTTGATACTCAAATGGGGAAAGGAGGTTTAGGGTAGTTTATTTTTATAGGATGAAAAAGAAAGTTATTGGATAGAATGGTCGAAGTTGATTAATGGGAAATTGGTTACAGTGGACTTGTTCGTAAAAGAAGGAAAGAACACCCCTCTCATCATTAGTTGAACCTTTATATAATTTAAATTTAAGAAGTCAAATAATAGATAAAAAGTTGATGGATTCAAAACAAATATGATAATAAGATTTTTATAAATAATTTGACGTGATATTATGATTTAGATATGTTTATCTTTTTATATAATGATGTGGTCGTTACATGAGATCTTGTAATCAATGTCTAAATTTGTTATGTTAGGAGTAGTCGTAAACTTGAGATTCATAGAGGTTATATAGGAAGAGTTTGTGAGGATAATCAATTGTTGGTCTATTCAGGGGATAGGTTCACCGATTCATTAAGTTTATTTATCCATTGAACATGTTTGAATGTTCATTGGAAATTTGTGAGAGTTAGCGAAGTCGCGTGATCTAAAGGTTCTCAATGCTCCTCTACATTTACACTCTAGTTTTGGTTTGCTTGAAAACCTTTTGTCAGGTTGGGAATTGATAGAAAGGGATGGATACTGTTTGTTTTACTTGCCCCAATTCTACTGCTAAATAAATCATCGTTCAGATTGAAATATCTTCTCGGTTAGCGATGTAAAGGCGGAGAGAGTATCCCTTTATGGTTCTACAGTTTAATTCCTATTGCTTGCTTTCCTCCAGGAAAAGTAAAAGAATTAGAAAGGGAGGAAACGAACATGATCGCATGGTGAGAAAAGTGTCATGTCGTGTAAGGTAAAGTGGATGCACATTGTGTGGGGAAAGTGAATTTTTTTTTTGGGGTGGGGGGTTCTAAGAGGGTAATAAATGGATGACAGTCCGAACACAATTAATTTGAATTGATGGCACTCAAAATGTCCCTCACTATTCAAACTTTCCCTTGCTTTTCATTTGTTTTGGCCTTCTCCTACGTTTTGAATTTAATTGTAAATCCATTAATCGGTTTTAGTATTAAAATAAAATATTATTTCTTTAAAGGTTTTGGGCATGAATAAATACATATATAGAATGCGCATACATTGTTAATTGATTTTTTTTAAATATATACTAACTTATAATTAATTTAGAATATTAAAAAAAATATTGTAGAGTTTAGCACAAACTCAAAAGAGTTGCAATCTTGATCTAACTAACTCTCATCCTTTCAAAGTTCAAAAGTCTATTTCTCATACATTGACTAATTTACACTAGTATAAAATCAAATTTTACATAATTTTATAAGTTTTATTAAAATTATTATTTTATCAGTAAGTTTTATTAAACTTATTATTTTATGAGTGAATTATAAAATCAATTAATTTTAAAATATTATTATATTTAATTTAATTATTAAAATTATTATTTTTTATAAGATAGAAATCAATAACTTTATTAAAAATAGAATAGAGTCACGTGAGAAACTGTTAACGAAATCAAAATGTATGGTCAAATCCAATTTGAGGGTCAAAAATAGGAAAAATCAATATGATAACAAACGAGCGTCATCTTGATAAGTCGTAGTGATATAAAATCAATCCCTATAGAAAAATATAAAAGAAAAAAATAGTCAAACGATCGAAAATGTGATAAAAGAAAGAGAAAAACGTACCATAAAGGCAAGAATTTTTAAAAATTAAAGAATAAGAAAAAATAAAGATACAACATAATAAAAAAAAAAAGAACAAAAAACAATGAAAATCAGGAGTAGCCAACTAAAATTAAGACCGATGCCATTGCCGGTTATAAAGATGAAGAAGAAAAATGATAGCATGACATGTGAAAAACTTTATAGTTTGCACACTCTCTCCCGATCCCAAACTGCAAGCAATCGAACAACTGAAGTCGTGCGGCGCATCAAATGGACGCCATCAGAGTCGGGCTGGATTTGCCTGAATATGGATGGTGCAATCTCGCAGTCAACTGACTTTGGCTCTATGGGGGCCCTGTTCTGAGACCAAAGTAGGCAATGCCTCACAGCATTCAGCAAGTATCTTGGACATACGATAGCCCTAGATTCTAAGATATGGGAAATCCGTGAAGAACTCAAACTAGCATGGACCAACAACTTTGAACGTATACTAGTATGCACATAACATGGATGTTTTCCAGCTACTTTCTCCGTCATTCCCTACCAACCATTTTACTTTAATAAGGAACATAACATGTATGTGCAACAGAGCATTGTAGAATTCTAGAAAATTTATCGAGAAGCAAACAGAGCAGCTAACTACTTGCAAAGATGCACCCCAACTCAGATGAGTTGTTTGTCGTTTTATCTCCCTTGTCGGATCACTTTGGCCATATTTTAGAACGTGACACCCACAGCCCTTCTTACACTCGAGAGAATTAGTATAATGACTTGGGCCTCTTTACTATTTTAAAAAAGAAAACTAACAACAATATAATTATTAATACTATTAGAAGTTTGATTACATAAAAATAAATTATTTTTAATTTAAAAATTTTAATCTCAAGTAATCCAACTATCTAAAATATATACCAGACTTAAAAAATTTACGTGTAGATGGAATTGTGGCCTCTAACTATTTGTTATATCTTCAAATTATTATGATAAAAATACAATAACAATCTCTATACTAAATTTTAGATTATAGTTTGATCGTTCTATAAAAAAATTAATCCATCTACAATTATCATAAGTTACAGCTAAAATATAAAAATAAGATATTGAAATTAAAATAGCATGACAAGTAAATATTCAATTATAGCTACATATTTTATTTTGGAAACCAATTTTAAGAAGGAATGTAAAATATTAGTTTATTTAGAATCAACCCAAATAAAAATGATTTTTAATGTAAATACAAATAAACTAAAAGACTAATATAACCTTATTTCTCTAAAAAAATGCAAGGAGTTAAAAGAAATAAAAAAAATATTATTTTGCCCAAACTTGAAAATATACAGAGTTTGGGCTCTCATATTTCTGCAAATGAAAGAAACCCAATCCATTCTTTGTCTATCATCACCCGACACCGACGCTACTTCGTTACAACTGCTTAGCTTAGTTTAGCTTCCGTCGCGGCTAATGTAAATCTCCTTTATCTGGTTTCACCCTAACTTCACTCCTCCGCCTTACCTTTTTGTTTTTCCCCTTCTCTCTCCGTTTCTTCAGGTGATGTATCTTTTTATTCTTTTCATTTAGTTGCTTGTTTATCAACCAATTGATGTTTTTATTTTATGAAGATTGAGTAATTTATTATATCGTAATTCTTGAATCAGTTGAATTAGGTTGTGGAACTTATTATTATTTATTTTAAAAGAAAACAATTCCAGTGCTGTTTAATAACTGCTTTTTTGTTGGTTTTATTTAATTAGTTTCGCACTTGATCATTGCTAGTATATGGAGGAAGGTAATGGACATTTTCAATGGTGGCGAGTTTTTCGTTTACTTTATCGTTCTGATGTTGACATCCTGCTAAAATTTAAAACTTTTAATTTACTTCTCTCAGAAAATAAATTTGCTTGGTTGCTGGTGTGGGGGCTGTGAAATTATGTTTAATTTTTTTGATAAACGAGGCTTAATTATAATAAAAAGGTTAAGCAACAACCAAGCACTGAAACAACCAATACAAAGGTGACTGAATGGTCGATACAATATGCAGAAAATCTTAACAAAATATATTGTTTGCTAAAGGACTCATTTTGGTGTCTAAAATTTGTATGTGATTCCTAGTGCTGATGATTTGTTGAAGTTTTAGGTGTAGATGGGGAAGATGATAGGTCAGATAATGACTGCTGATAAATGGTCTAGCATGTGGTCTTGATATGGCCATGGTAGATCTTGATATGGACTTGCTTTTGGACTTTATAAACCTTCTCTTTGTCATGACAATGTAGGAAAGCTAATGCGGAGAGATTCTTTTCTTAATTTGTCGGCTTCTCATACACGTGGCTCAATCTTGATTTGGTGTCCCTTAAATTCTCCTCCCCTTTGTGCAAGATATGATGAGATTGGTATTAAGATAATTACTCCTGACGGTTTATGTATCCTCTACCTTACATATTTTGACAATAGGTTTGGTGGATTACCCCCATCTTCTGTAGTCTATGTTCTGGGTGAACTTATCGGTTTTACTTTTCAAACACACGTGGAACCATGTTGTTCCCATCCTTTTCCTATGTCAGATTGTTATTTTGGTACCCAAGAGCTTTTCAAAGTGTGAAATTGGTGTTTGCTTTTATACCATTACTTGACATGAAAAAGCTGCGGGATTCACATTAGAATGGAGATGTTTGTTGAATACCTACGATTTCAATGGTTTGTTCATGATTATATTTTGCCTTCCATGTCAGGATGATTTTCCATTACTTTAACAGATAAACAACTAAAAACACGCGTCTTTTAATCATCTGATACATTTACCCTCCTCTTTTAATTCTGCTCTTGTTCTTTTTTCAGATTTCTTAGTTAAGTAAGATGGAACATGTTACACATCTCTCTATCCTTAACTATGGTACATGTGTCCGTGGCAAAGTGGGAAAGGGTGAGTGGGTGGAAAGAGTTTGAAGATGCCGACTTATTTTCCCATTCTAGAATGAGCAGGTTTGTCATATTCTTTGTTTCTTTTTTTTTTCTTTCCGAGATATGACTAATATGAAAGCTCTCTGTATCTATTGGCCCCTGTAGTGGACTAATGTAATTATTTTTTAACAAGCTTATAAAAATCAGAATCTTTTGGGGGCTTATAATACTACGAAGATAAGCCTTTTAACTCAACTTACATAATTTCAACCAGACGTACTATTGCTATTCTTACTCCTTTCTGGAACGAAAGCTACGACCGGCTTGACATGATGCCAAAGTTTTATATTATTTAATCATGTATCTGTTACGCATTTGGTCTTTATAGGTATTTGTGTAAGAATGTCACTAATCATCTGTCCATATCTTTGGGGGGGAAAAGAGAAAGGTGTTATATTATAACTGATATGGTTCTTTTGATTGGACAGAAACGCGTATGAATGCAGACGTATTTTTGATTGATTCCATTTGTGATCGTGGTATCTATGCATTCTCATATTGATGGCATCCTGTTGATGTCAACAGCATGCCACATCATGCTATTGCAGCTAAATATCATTTTGGAAAATCTCTTGCATTTATGGTGAAAGAAAATGTCGTTGTACCTTACTGTCGAACATGACTAGCTGAAGAGTTGCCTTGCTATGTAAAATTATTGAATTTAACAGTTAATTTTTGTACATGTTATTCTTTTAATCCCCCTCTGCAGGTAACATTTTACTTGCTGATGAAACCTTTTCTAACACCAATGCAGAAGACATGGTTGAAGCGAAAACTTTTGTATGCACGAAGAAGGGTCTTTTATATGGCATAATTTGAAACAGGTGTGAAATACTGGCCTATGATACGCAATTTGATTGGTGTATGACTAACTGCTTTTGGTTCAAGTTAATGAATAATTTTAGAAGATGGGAGTCTTCAGTCCCCACCTCATGAGAATTTCGGTAGGTTGAAGGTAGCATTCGAAGTTGGTTTCGTATGAGAATGACAACATGGTAATGGTAGCTTCATGTGTTTACTTCTTGTACTGCCTGCCTTTAGTTTTAATATTTCAAGAGCGACATGCTAGAGATTAATATACAGGTGAGGTCGGTGAGACAATCTGGCATGGAATATTCTTATATGAGTTTTGATAATAGATCTGATTTCATCTTATGTTGCATTCAAGCATCTCTGGATCAAATAAGGCCACCCAGTTAATAGATTCATTGGCAGAACACGGAAAAGATCAGTGGAGGTGATGTTTCCCTACAAAAATGTAAAAAGAAAAAAACTTCTTAAAATATATATGTTTGATCCTTATGAACTTATATTTTAAAAATGATCTTCAAAATTTTAAATAGTCCAAATAATTACGGTTGAATTCCGCACCGAATGAGTCATAATCATGATATAAAAATCGAGAGTTCGGTTTTCCAAGAGCACCTGCGTTGACTGACCTGTTGCGATCTAATTTATTTTTTTTGTCCAGAATTTTCCCACTTGTTTTAAATTGCACTTTAATCGCTGTTCATGGGCAATTAATGGACGATGATGGTTAACACACAAATAATATATTTTAAATGTCAATTCAGGGAAGGATGGACAATTCTTTTACGGAAATTTTCACGACTTGGTTCAGATTCGGTTGATATTGATACTAATAGGGTAAATAACACCGTTTTTCACTGTATTTTATTCTTTATCTTATTTTGTTCATTATACTTGTAATTTTTCTATTTAATAAACTTTATAGATTGAATCAAATTTGTTCATTCTGTCATTAATTATTTAGCGGTATTATGACATGGCATAAGAAATGACATAAGCATCAAAACAACGTCGTTTCGAATTCATTATAAAACTTTTCTTCTTCTTTATTTCTTTATTTTTCCTTTTTCTTCCTCCCATTTTTTCTCTATTCCGCAATCGGTTGTAGTCGTCGGCCACCATCTACCGTCATTGATGGTGGCCGTTGGATCCCAAATTTTACGGGTCAGTTCATCTCGACCTTCTGAGTCCGAATTTGGTGATTGTTTCCTCGGGAAATGTCTCAAAACCTGCAAATCTAAACTGAAAATTTTCAGTTTTCTCACTTTCAATATCAAATTTGTAGTTGTCGGAGTAAGTTCCAACAAAATAAAAGTCGGATTCGAAACCACAGTGTCGAGGCGAAGCGACTCACGAAATTTAAAATCGAACGACCAACATCTACGGTGGTCGACAATGACTGACAGTAGCATCCGATCACCTTTAGCTTTTTTGTTATTTTTTAAATTATTTTATATTAATAAATAAATAAATAATACCATATCATTAAAACGTTAAAGAGATAATGTAGAAATGAACAAAATAATTTAATCTATAAAGTTCAGTAAACAAATTAAAAAAATTAAAAATATAATCAACAAAATAGAAAATAAAATAAAATACAGTGAAGAATGATAGAATGTACCCATACTAATATTTTTTTTCTCATTGCAGAGTCAATATCATAATTGCATTCTCATTGCAGAAGTCAATATCATAATTGCATGACGATTGGAACTAACAATTTCAGCTAAATAACATACAGAAAATCAACCGCCATAAATTTATTAATCGATTAATTTAAATTAAATATCATAAAAATAAAAATAATTTTTTTAACTTAATTTATTTCATTCGCACATAAGAAAATTTGAATCTCAAATATAAAATTTTAAACTCTTAACTTTACTTAAAAGATTTACTATACCAATTGGTTGTTAATGCATTTATTACTACATTTAACAAATAAAAAAAATAAGATAAAATTTAATCAACACTAAATAAGAAGGAATCAACTTACGTTAATCAAGTATATAAAAATGGGGAAGAAAACCCCCTCACCGCCTATCTTTCATCATCTATTAACTTGCAACAAGCAATCCCTTTCGTGAAAGCCACCGCCATCGGTGACGGTCACGGTCACCGTGACACCCTCCCTCCTATGCTCATCTCTCTCTCTCTAATTTGACTGTGTTTTTTGGTGTCCACAAGCAAGGTCGTAACTAACTGTACTTTGGTTCTCACATGTATCTGTCCTAGTTTTCTTATGTACTTTTGTTTTAGCAGCTAAGAGAATATATATATGGAGACACAAGCTGGTAGGCCATCGCCCTTGTTTCTCTTCTCCATACCTATCCTCTAGCAATTTCAACTCAAGTCCCCCGGATCCCTCGTCTCTCTAATTTTTTTCGATGAAAATATATTTGATATAATACAAGGAATTTGTATACAATATATAACCTAAAAAAACACACAGTTGATCAAGAATTCAACGATTTCCCTGTTTCATCACTATCCATGTTAAATGTTACATGCCATAAACCAAACTTGTATTTCCCAAAGTAAATTATTTATAAACCTTATAAAACTGAGAATCAATCCATTCTTTACTGAGTCTATTCCTCGGGCACTTGATATTTCTTGAGAGAATCAAAAGACAAAAGTGAAAGGAGAAAAAAGTGGGGACTATAAACAGTTGTAGGCTTTGCGGGTACGGTAACTAGTATATTGTTTCAATCCTCATCAGAACTGTCGGGATACTTGTTCAAATCAGGTTTCCGGAGAACTCGAGAAGGGTTCGATGATTCCGATGATGAAGCAGATGCATGATGGAGAGAAGTTTCTAAAGCGTCGACTTTAGCCCCTACCTCGGTGGCCTTCTTACGTATGGAAACGGTGGAGATATCCCTAAGGTCGTCTTCTTGTAATACGAGATCAGGGAAATTGAGCCTAGCAGAAGGCCCACGCAAGTAGAAAACGGCGGTGTCGTAAGCACGAGCGGCGGCTATAGGGGTGGTGTAAGAACCGAGCCAAATCCTAGACCTCTTGTTTGGTTCTCTGATTTCAGCAACCCACTTCCCCCACTTCCTCATCCTTATCCCTCTGAATGGTTTCTCCTTCTGCTGTTGCCTATGCAACTTTCGTTTCCCTCCCTTTGTTGAACTTGAAGTTAAACAACAATCACCAAACTCCATGGCACAAAAAGATCAAAAAACAAAAACAGAACCTTTTTTTAATGGAAGGGTTAATCAAAGAATACCCTTTGCTTCAAAAGCTATTATGTATCCTGTACATATATATAAGTACAAAAGGAGACGTGATAAAATATATATGAGCGACGATAGGAGAGGGAATTGAGCATTAGTTCCCCACTTGGCTGATAGTGTGTCGTCTGGGCACGGCCGCCCCGTTGTTGGATGTAACTAAAGATAAATCCAAATTGGGCCGACATAATCCATCAGCTGCTCTTCTCTTTCTAAAAAGCCTACAAATTTTTTGTCTTTCTCTTGGTTTAGGCTTGTAATTGTAGTTGTAGGCATGCGGTTATACACCCGCGCGAACTTCAGCCTTGTGTTTTTCAACTTCAACTATGCCGCTGTTTCCATATTAAACAACGTCGGCATTTCTTTTAAATTAACTTGCACTAGTTCACCGTCCCAAAGAAATACTTAATTTTAGGTTAATTTCCCCGGTTTGAGGTATGCATGTGATACCATTTTACAATTGTCTTTCGTTAAATATAACGGTCTTGATACAGATAACTCGTTAAGTCAACAATAATCGACGTACATAGTTAAGGTATAGACACGATATGTTTTTCTGAAAAGGAAAGGGAAAAACGAAATTATTGGATATTTTAGTTTGTTTTGTTGCTGGGATATAATAGTGAGTTTTGGGTTTTGAGTGCCTAACTCTTTTTGGCAAGCCAAGTGGGATCCAAGTTGAGAAACTAAAGAGATGGGTATCTCTCTTTCCGTCCACACTCACACAATTCATTTTTAGTTTAAGTTTGTTTGATCAAACCTAATATTTTATGTTAAAAATATGAACTTAGTAAATAAATTTATTAGTTAAAGGGAGCAATATTTAAAAAAAAATCAAATTCAACTTGTTTTGTCTAGAAGATATATATACATTATCAATAGTCAAAAAAGATTTTGAATAAATACTACATTGTAATTATCACAAACTATTAAAAAAATATACTTCAATAATATAAAATTTTAAAATTTTAAAATTAATTTATGGTGAATACAAAATAATATTTGTTCTAAAGATTCACAATTATTTGACAATGAAAATTTAAATACCTTGTAATTTGTATTACTAAAACCTATAAACTTTAGAAACAACAATTATTTCTTGAGTTAAATTAATTTCATTTTATTTTTATGGTGAAATTACCAAATTGATTTAATCACCATGTTTCAAACCCTTATTTTATTTGGGGTGTCAAATGTCAATCTTAATCATCTGATTATAACCTTTTTATTTATTTATTTATAAGAGTCGGTGAAAGCGTAAGTAATTTCCACATTTTCTGAGTGCTTAATCCATGATGTGGTACCCCTTCATTGGTTCTTTAAGTTTCAACCCCTTTGATTATTGACTATCAACCCAGCTCAGGTTTATTTTAGTAAAATAAATATATATTAAAAAAAACAAATCAAAGCCAGTCGGGAGTGCAACATTTCATACCGCCCTTGGAATTATTAAAAGACAACTTCTATATTTAAATAAAGGAAACCATTTTGGCTTCAAACTCCAAATTATATATATAAAAGAAAAAGGGGCAGAAATCGTTAGCTTCTTCCACTTGGCTTCTATCACCCGTTTCCTTTACATTAATCAAAGACAGCTGCCTTGTTTTTAATTGGATTTTACCAAAGCCAGGATTGTAGAATCTTGATTTATTAGTAGAATATACAAATCCCATTTTCATTGTTTTAATCAATCATTCTTACCATGTGCTTCAACATACTCATTTTTTGCATGTTTAGTCGGCAAGCACTCGTCTTTTTTTATGTTAGTCGGCAAACTATTTAAATACCTATTTTCTTTCCTATTTCAGTGCAATGTAACATGAAGATGCATGTGTGTCATCTTCCTTTTTGTATTTGAGATGGAGGGTTGGTCCAGAGAGAATAAGACAGTGACCTGAACATTAATGAGCATAAACAAGAAGATAATGAGTAGTGTGTATTCGAAACGACAAGCTAATAGTTTCATATAAATGGTGGCGGGGAGGAGACGCCATGACAACGTCCCACTATGCTGTGATATTATGGAGTATGATTGGGGAGTGGACTAAATATTATGCATGCCGCTTCTTCAAAGCAGACTCATTATGGAACAGTAAATCCTATTTATGCCAATAACAAAGCCGTCAAATCAAAGATTGAATATCAGAAACTGAGGTTCATATTGGTCTAGGTTGGAATATGTATAAAAACCATTCTTAACCACATACAAATCTATTTAGAGGCCTTGATAAGCAAAAATGCCCCTATAAGAACAGGCAGGAGACAATTTAGAACTAGAATCAACATCTTCTTATTCTCGACACCTCTGTTTTCATTTCTTTTCCACCTTGGAATAATTGTTTCCCTTATTCATCTTCTCCCATCCAAACAAACTTTGGATTTTGGATTGGGGGTAGTTCTTAATATTTTAGTTCACCCTAAGTTTACTGCACAACCGCACAAGCATTTTCACCAGCCAACCGAGGATGCATAAGATAGTGGGGATAGTTCTTCAGATTGAAAGGGAACGGAAATTCGATCTCCATACCCTAGAGAAGCACCAACCTGAAGTGACAACAAATATGGCTTTGTTTGTACAAGGCCATTAGATGATTTGAAGATTTCTAAAAACAAATCCAATCAACTAAAATATAAATGCGTCAGAAACCATATTCCACCACTGTCCACAAATCAAATTTCAGGATACACATACCAAGTTGTTTATGAAACAGACAATGATTTGAAACCCATGATTGTGTTCTGCAGTCTCCCTCTTGTTAATACCTCTAAACCATCCAAACCTCTCCTTAGCTCACTCGCCATACAATATCCAATCTTCGGATTATTAAACTTCTGGCCACTTCGTTGTGCTTAGTGATCCCCACTTATACTCAATTCATTAGTAAACCGATATCGTTTCTTAACTTTCAAAGATTTCATTCTGTTTTAACTCCTCCTGTCGTTCCCTTTCTTGCAACTGCTTGAAATGTTTTTTTTTTCAAATCAAAATTTGTCTTTACCATTCATTCCTCTGCGTTCGAGGATGTCGATGGCGGCGGCTTTTCCTCTCGCCACCTTCTTGTTTGTAAGATCCAATGAGGTAAATGGATAAACGCGTGAGGATTATCGTATGCAGACATGAGAGGTCTGGCTTTGTGTGGAGAGGATTTCACTGGTAGGAGTACGAGGACTTGCACTGCCAGTCTGCTTTCGACTCATTGAACTGAAATTTGGATAACCAAAGCCCATGGTCCAAATACCTGCAACGGCTATCAATTGGACCTCGTATGTTAGGCTTTTCGAAGAATTCCAGATCCAAATATGAGATTTTATAGCCTCATATCTTTATTCTAATAAATAAATAAATAAAATATGGATAATTATAATAAAATTTTAAATATATATATAAGTAAATGCCTTCATTAAGAAACCAGACTTTATTGGGTGTTTTATATCTTCTTTCAAATTTATAGTTAAAGATTTTTTTCCTCTCATATTAATATCTAAATTTTTTTATTCACTATTAATATTAACTTTTGGTGATATAATAAGTTAACAACATAAGATCGTACTATATGCCAATGATAATGTTATTGTGCGGTTTTTTCTAAAAAAAAAGAGTTTAAAATTTAAGAAATTTTAAGAAAAATAATGAGTAAAACGTTATAAAAATATTAAATATTAAAATTCAAGGAAAGTCAATAACGATGTTGTATTAGTTGAAAAGCTTGTTTTAGTTGCAAATGAAAATAATAGAGATGAGAGTGAAATAACATAATTTTACAATTAGAAATAAAAAATTATGTCATGATAAAAGAAATAATATATTAAAGATTCAAATAAAAAAAATAAGTAAAGCTAATTCTTAGTCCATTAAAGAGATATTTATCAGGCTAATAAATTACAATTTTGATATGTTTTCATTTTAGTTTTAAACATTTTAATATCTATAATTTATAAAGACTTTTAAGAAAATGTATAAAGAGATATTATTATAATAATTATACAATTCTCTTCGATTGATCGTATCAAAGATCTTTGCTACGAACTTGAAATCAATCCGACTCATCTTATCCTTCAAGACAAACTTTAATTTTTTTTAAAAAAAAGAAAAAAAATATCAAATCTTATAAAATTACTTTGAATTGAAACCTGTCAATGGATGCCCAAAATAGATAACATTAAATCAAATCAAAATATTGATATCGCTCATTTAAATAGGATAGGTACAAAAAGGTCAACATATATTTCTCATTTGTTGTTTTTCATTTTCTTGAGAAGGAAATAAAAACAGTTGCGGTTTAATGGGTTTGCAGAAAATGGAGGCCTCCCACTACTTCCAAAAATCAAACATTCGACAGTGAAATCATACACAATCGGAACTCCCTTTAAACTTTAAACTTTAAACTTTAAACAGCACTTTGTTTCAATATCAGATCGAAGAAAAGACTTTATTTCCAATATTACATACCAATAATTAAACAGATACAGGGTCCTACATAAACACCTAAAGGTGCCTAAGACAAATCCCCACCCTCAACCTCAAACATTGTATCCCATACAAAAATCCAATGTCCCCACCACGGGAATAGCCTTCTGTTTTTCCAGGCCCAGAGACCATGCCTTAAATGAGACAAACTTTTAATGTGCAAATACATGTAAAATCATTGTAATTTTTACATCAAATTAACTGTGAAACTACAAGCACGCAGTACAATAAAAACCTTGTTCCTTTTACCATGGCCGCTCTTCTTAAAACTTTTTCCTACAGTCTCCCCTGCTTTGGCCCTTGCTCTACCCTAAAATGTTTAATTGTCTCCTTTACCCTGCAGGGAAAAAAACAATGAAAGTGCCCCGCTGACCAGACTTGTAATTCTTGGTTTTCTAGAAGGGATTGCAATTTTGCAAACAAGCAATAAGTAGGCATCATCCTCTCTCTCTCCTTTGAAAGCCCAGAAGATAAGAGGAAATGAATTTAATAAACGCGTTTTTTTACGAAGAAGGATTGTCGGTTCACGTTAATCCCCCACGAAATGGTTCCCTCTCTTTTACTATTTTACCATATTTGCTGACACCACCATCGCTCCTGCCTTTCTTGATCCAGTTTAGGTCCACTCTTCCCTTGACCTTTCTATCTCTTTATCAATCATCGCCCTTTCCTCCCTTGATACATTTTCAGGGAAAAAGATAAAACTTTTTATTTGTATTTGAAAATTTATATAGGCTGAGAAAAGACTACAACCGCGATGCCTGAATGGACTATTGTCGCGGTAGCAGCGGTGGCCGTCGGTATCCTTCTGATCCTTTTGGTTGTGTTTATACGTCGCTGGTGTTACCGTAAAGATATTGACGACAACAGAGCCGTTGGGACTGAAAATTTTCAAGACGGGATTGCTAGACTAAACCAGGCGAGTCTGCATCATCATCATCAGATTGATTTAGATAGCAAGAGAAGAGGGAATTACTATGTTTTTCGACGTGGGGTTTCGGCAAAACCTTTGTTTAATTGGGCTGATCATCCATCTCTCATCACGGATGCAGTTGAGAATGGATGGTCTCGATTTGGCTTCACGAATTACATGTCGTCTCCTTCTACACGATCGAGCCTGTTGGGATTATGTGCGGCTGGTGATTTCGGAAGAGGAAACGATGTAGAGGTGAACTGGGAAGTTTGCCTAGGATCAGCAGATTTCATGCAAAAGATCAGGTTGAACTCTGGGTCAAAGAAAGGGAGTTTAGGCCATCATTCCATGGAGGCAGCATCTGTTATCAGAACAGCTTTGCCCTTGCCAGGGCCTCCTTTGGGCAACTCAGCTTTCCCTCAAGAGGCCTATTTCGAGATCACGATTTTGTATTGCCGCGGAGATGATCATGATTCAAGTCCAAGCGGCAAGCTAAGAGAAGGCGAGAAGATAAAACTCATCAAAGAAAATTCAAATCCGAAAGCAAGTTCAGAATCTTTGGTCCATGTTATCGGCAATCATGATATTAATACGATCGAGGAATTAAAGCTTGCAATTAGAGATGACGGAAAAGGTAAAACAGTAATGTTATCGGTGGGACTGACTGCAGGAGGCTCTCTTCCTTTGAAGCTTCTTGGTAGCTATCCAGGATCCATTGGTTTCAATTCGGATGGTTCCGTCTATCTCGATGGTAATTAATTTTCTTCAATATAGACACATTTTTTTAAATGTGAATGGAGATTAAACACACTCCAAGTACAGATAAAATAGTAGTTCAGTTCAGAAGCTAGACTCTTGTGTTTAGCAATAAAAAAAAAAGTGGCAACCGTCCACCAGCGAGCAAATCTCTCAACTGAAAGGTCTCCATATTAGACTGACCCGAAGTGGTTGAGAAAAGGCCCACCGCCACACGGTCATGAATTATAAGTTAATAGTGCCACCCTTCAGTGTATCTGGATAGGTGTAAAGCTACTGACCCAAAAAAGATGCAGCATTTTCCTCTAATTTATTGCTGTATGATCTGTAATAATAAAACTTTAGGCTAAGCAGTCCGACTTTCTTAGTCATATGTCACTCACTCCTTTATCCATCTTCTTTCCTCTTGTTTGTTTCGTGTTGTTTTAATTCTCGAGTTCTGATAAGCATTTGATTCTCATATTGCAGGGATTAAACTAGTGTTTGAATCCGAGAAAGAAGAGTGGGGGAAAACTGAGAAGGTGATTGGTTGCGGGTTCGATCCTAGGCAAAAGAAAGTGTTTTTCACATTAGATTCGGAGCTGGTACGTGTAATAAATTGCAAGTCTGAGGAATTTGGAACTCCCCTTTATCCAACTCTTGCAGCAAATGATGATGTTTCGGTTCTAGTTAATTTTGGACAAAGTGCCTTTGCATATACACCGGCAAATGGAAAACGGACGCCAAATCCATGTTTCATTGGCCCTCTTGTAAACTCCCCTGCTGCCGCTCTGGGCTATGAAGACAGCAAAGAGCTTTTTTCAATGGGAAGAATTGACTCCCAGTGGCTTAACAGATGCACAACTAAGGGCAGCCACAACAATGGGAGTAATTACCCGATGGTGGATTTCGATGAGGAATCCGAGGCTGATTTATTTGAAATCATATTGGATGATAACGGAAGATCCCCCAACTCAGTTTTGTAGCTTCAACGCGGAAAATTTTATTTCTGCAAAGAGTGTTGTCTGGTTTTGGCATTGAATGAAGTGTTTCGGCATCCATGGCCATGGACGCACTAGAGTTCCCATAGAAGGTTGATATATTTTACTTGGAATGTTGGAACCTCTTCAATATTTAGAAATACAGAGACAAACAAGTTTTATGAGGCATTGGGTGCCGAAAATACTTTTCATTGTTTTACAAAGTTCACTGACATTTTGGCTTTTGCCATGTATATTTTGGTTTCTCAATGTTGTGTAACAGTTGTATAGAATCAATAACCTTTTTTCTTTTCATTTTGGAATCGTTTCTGCATACATTTTTTCACCCTCAAAATTCCTGATATGAACATGATGCGCACGTTTTGGCTTAGAAAGACTGAATTTACATAATCGTTTAACGGCTCAATTATCAAAATGAAGACCATCAGAAAAAGGTCAAAAGAAAGAGAATATAGAAAAGGTAAGAAAGAAAGCAGAGGAATCCCGCACTGAAATAACAATAAGATCTAAAAGTCCCTTAAATGAAAATATCAAATTTTATATAAATTTGCGTAACAGTCTAATATCTAAATGCATGAAGAGGTTTTCACAGCAAGCCATGGAATGATCAAATATCAACAAGTCGAGCGAAAAGTCTGCAGATGAAAAAAAAATATCCCCACCTAATGTTGGTTGGGAGCGTGTGAAACCATCCTATGACATCTATCATTGCTTGAAAATGATGTCTAAGGCAGCGATAGATGAGGATTTTGGCAACCGAATTTATAATTTCAGACTTTCCGCCAACCAAAGTTGTTGATTAAAATATCTGGAACACTAAATGTCTTGTTATGTCTATTTTGGTGCTCTCTTCTAGATTTTATATACCAACACTTATGTTGGAATTGTCGGATTAAAGATAAAAATTTTATCTTTAGTTTACAACATGTAATTTGTTTGATAATCAATAGTGAATTTTTCAATAACCTTAGTATTACGTTTTTAATATCTGTTCTTTATTTCAAAATTTTATTTTTCATGCTGAAAACGTGTCATTTTCACTCCTGTATCCTTAGAGAATATTAAAAAATTATCAGAATTCTCGTATCGAGAAGAATTGAACATTTTTCATTATAATTTTTTAGAATAAAATATTAAATTTGTTGAAAATTTTATATTGACCGGTTAATGTATGATATTTCATGAATTTCTTTTGAAGGAATAAATAGTTTCAACAACAAAATTATATTCAACATACAAAAAAATAAAATCCAAATTAAATATATAGTAGAAGTTCAAGTTCTTCCTCTTTCTATTAATGTGGAATTAATCTAAATACACTTGTCAAACTCAAACTTTGGTTGACTTTTATAAGATGATTTATTAATAATACTGGATTATCATCTCTTTCTCAAATACTTTCTAGATCTTACTTGTCAGCAAGGTACTACTGCTGAGGTTAGGTATCGGTAACCATCAATGTAAGACAAGTTCAAAGATCAAATTATTTATTTAAATTATAAAAGTCTTTAAAAAATATTTAAAAGAATTTAAATAATATCAAATTCAGAAAACGAATTGAGATAAAAATAGATTCATTTATATATAAATGAGATTTGAATTCCATATTGAATATTTTGTTTTTAATATATCATATAATATATATAATGTGAAAATTAAGTCGATAATAATATGCATGATATTATAATATAAACAATAAAAATATTAAATTGTTCGTATATAAAAGAGGTTTAAACATAAATTAAGTCAAAAAGCCAAATGACGTGTGTAATAGTTCCGTCATTTCTAGTGACCATTCATGTGTCTACAGTGTATGTGGATATTCCAGAGCTTGCTGTTGAACTCTTCTCCGGTACTCATTTGAGTTCTGTATTACCCAAGATTGCGCATCAGTGAAAGGAAAATAAAACCACACACACACACACAAAAAGGCTATTTAGTATTTAGCAGCAACAGAAATGATTAAAGAGTAAAGCAATTTACCGATACATAAAGCTGATATCCCTCGGTTTGTGCATGGTCGCTTGCATTGGGTTGATCAAGTAAATCTTGAATGCCCACTAGAATTTGCTTCACTGTAATCGATGGTCTCCACCCCTTGGAGAAAAACAGGGTTTAATTTAGCTAAATAATAATGAATTAACATCAAAGGTTGGTGTGAAAGTACTTACATGGCGCTCGTTTAGGATAGACAGACACACAATTCCCGAAGGATAAACATTAGGGTGGAAGAACCCATTCGGAAACTTGCATTTAGGTGGTTTCCTAGGGTAGTCCTCGCTGAAGTTAAGTGTAAGAGGAAAGTAGCCACCTTCCCAATCAGTCTGAAAAAGGACATCACAGTTGAAGAAAAATCAATGAACCATATACAACCTCTTAATGGCTAGAGTGCTTAACAACACTTGTCAACTCACGATTCTCAATTTTAATGGCTAAAGTGCTTAACAACCTCTCCTTTTGAATAAATATGTTGTTAGTTAACTTGGAAACATAAGTCATTCGCCGGTATCTGAAACTAATGGCATTGCTTTACCTTACAATGCAAGATATACATCAAATGAACAAAGTGAATAGTATAATAACACAATAGTAGAAAGGGCAAAAACTGTTTACATACAAAACTTTACTAGTAATACTCGATGAGATTAACTAATAAACAGACATATATATTCCGGTACACATAAATCCCAGACTTAGGAATATAGAATATAATAAATAAACAAAACGTCAAAACCCAATAAACGAAAAACTTCAAATATTAAAAGGGGATGTAATTGTAGTGTAAAAAAGTGAAGACTGACCCCTTCCTTGCCGGGTATAACACATTGCCAAACCATCATATTCACAGACCCATCTGGCGCTGTCTCGGGCTTAGCCACAAAACCCTTCAAAATCACCAACTAAAGATAAACAAAATAAAATAAAAACAACACTATAATGGGAGAAGAATGTGCATACATGCGGATGGTTTTTGCGCCAGGCTTTTCGTTCCTCGGCAAGACGGCTTCGTGCGATACGATTCGGCATAACGTGTCAAAAAGACTTAAGGGTTCTTCTTACTTGAGATTTTAAGAAGATCTCTCTGTCTTGTTCTTGCCTAACAAGCTTTCTCTATCTATGCAGAGTTCGAGTTGATTTAGGTCTTTTAAAGCCGACTTCAAATTGATTTCCACATTAAACGTGACTCTTTATTTTCCTTTTTAAAATTTTTTTATTAAAAAAATATAGGATTATGATAAACCAAGCCCATTACACTGAAAAACTAAAGCCCGTACAAGAGGGGATGGAATCAAATAAACCCGTTCAGAATTAACGCCTTGGACGTTGAAAATGCATGGTGTCGATTTGGCTTCAACAAGATCAAACCTGTTGGCATTAGGTGCGGCTGGTGATTTTGGAAGAGGAAACGACGTAGATGTGAACTGGAAAGTTTGGCAGATTTCATGCATAAGATCAGGCCCAACTATGTGTCAAAGAAAGGGAATTTAGGTCATCATTCTAAGGAGGCAGCAGCATCTGTTATCAAAACAACTTTGCCCTTGCCAGGGCCTCCTTTCCGTCAAGAGGCCTATTTTCAGATCACGATTTTGTATTCACCTCTATGATTAAAGCATTTTTGTCTCTCTCAAGATTTTGCTTTAACCAATATTTTCTTATTCTCTATATTAATTGTATATATAAAAAAACAAATACAGATTAAAAAATTAGTATACAAAGTTCAAGTTCTTCCTTGATAGAAATAGTTTTAAGTTGTTAACTGGTTAAGGCAGGTAAAGTTGTTGGACTGATTTTGTTAAGTCAATCAATTTGTTTGTTTAGAAACGTTGTTACCCGTTACTATTTTTTTTATTAATTTGGGGTAAGTATAAAACATTATATGTTCAAACATAACTATCAACTATTTGGCATTAAACATTTACACCATTTGACATTGAACGTTCACACCCTGATATTCATATTACTCAAACTTAGGACCTCAAGGAACAATAACAATTCCTTTACTATCAAGGCATGTTCTCTTTCATTCTGTTTAAATATGAGGCATGTTAAAATTCTGTTGTATCAATAATATTATCTTTTATCAACGGGTTAAATTTCAACTGTACTAACAACATAGTAGAATATAAAACATGTGTTATAGATCATTGAGCAATTATTAAATGTAAAGATAAGGTTTTGAAAGTGTATGAAGACTTCGCTCTTATAGTTGATCAGAGAAAAACGGGAGACAAAGGATTTTAAATTAAAAGAGTACCGTAAACTCACCCTTAAAATTAAGAAGTACGAAGAAATCACGTTCAATTATCTATTAAAAATAAGAGAACCAGATGACTTATGCCTTAGCTACATTGATTGTTATGTTTAAAGTAATTAAGCAGTCTGACATAATACCAATTAAGAGATAAGTGTATAAATCTTCTGCTCACTATTATAACAAGAGAAAGATGTCCACATCCAGAACTACGATATTTACAAAATATCATACAACTTAAAATGATAAAGGGAAGATAGAAATAATAGTTTTGGGATTTGTTCTTGATAGGAAAATCTTATACAAGAATATCATAGATATATTTTATCGATATATGACGGATGTTATTGGATGAATCACACCAAAATCTTCTAATGAATACTACTTTATTTTTATGGTCATCGATTATTTTATTAAATTGGTAAAAATCGCTTCATATACGAATATCACTCGATTGATAATCTCTAATTTTTTTTAAAGAAAGATCATTTTTAATAATGCTTTGAATTTAAAAAAAAAGGACAAGATGATTGTTGCGTGTGAGCACTTTAAGATAAAGCACCTTAACTCAACACTCTGCCAAACGTGATTAATTACTTTAAACTCCTTAATTAGTTCAAGGATGGTTTTACGATACTTCATTAATTTGAGATTCTTTGTCTTCCATTATCATTTGAACTAATAAAACACCATAGTGGTGTCTTCATACACTTTTAAAACTTTAATTTTATTTTCATCGACTACTCAAGGACTCATAACACATGTCTCGTATTCTATCATGTTGTTAGTGCAATTAAAGTTTAACGAGTCGATAAAGGAGTAATGATTTCTTTCGGGTGAATAAAAATAATTATAAAATTGATTTTAAATTACTATTATCATTTTAGATTTTTTTTTCAAATATATAATCATCAAACTAGCCAAACTTGATCTTAGTAAATAAGATTTTTGAACTAATAGATAGGGACATCAAATATATCCCCTGAGAGGTCAACGCAATGGATGACAAACTAGCCAAAATTGCAAACATAGGCACGGTCGAGCACAGAGTCTTCGTGGACCCTCCAGATGAAATTGTAAATTTACTGCAAAATGATGGTAGAGCCTCAAGGCAGGCTAATACTGCATAATTAATGGCAAACTCTTTTCTTACCCAAAAATAAAAAATTATAAATGGATGGAAAAAACAACAACGATGCGATCTATTATTTCAATTGCTTGCTTTCTAAATTGAAAGAACGAAGTTACTTCATTTGTTTTGAAACATATCCAATTAACTTTTTATCGAAATTGAGAGCTACCTCATATATATATTTTACAAGTGTTTGTTTCCTGTAGTTTGATATTTTGAAAAATATTTTCTTATTTTTCAGTGTTTGGTTAGTAGAAAACAAAATGGTCAACGTAGTTCACTTTCTTGATCAACAAAATTTATTTTGAATTTTATGAAAAATGGCTAACGGATTGATTTGCCGTAATTTATTTTCTGAAATTTTCACTTCAAAGCATTAATACACAATAATATTTTCTAAAACTTAATATTAATATACTATTTTAGTACTATTTTAATAAAAATAATAATTATTAAAATATATAATAATAATAATAATATAATGTTATATTTTTTTAGTATTACAATAATATATTAAATTATATTATAATAATATATGATACTGTATTTTTATATTAATAATATATAATAAAATTAATTTATTTATTAATTTCATAAAATAATATTATTAAATATATAAAATATTTTATTAATATTTTTTTAATATTATAATAATATTTTTATTTTAATAAGTACTAAATATAATTAATAACATAATACTCTTATTTTTAATAAATAGTTAATATAATTTATAAATTTTTTATTTTAATAAAATATAATAGTCTTAATATTTTTATTTATAAAATTTTAGAAATAATATTTTAATGATAATATTGAAAAATAATATTAAATAAACTATTTCAATATTTTTAAAATAATAATATTAATTATTTTCTAGTAAATAATATTATTTATTATACTTTATATTTATAATAAATAATAATTTAGAACATTTATCAATCAATAAAAAATAATTTATATCTATCATTCAAAAACCGTAAAATAATTTTCATAATTTATTTTTCGTGAAACAAACTGACCTAATTATACATCCTATCATAATTATGAGGAGGCTTGACCTGTATAAAAAAATCCCGTATAAGTTTTACCTAATGATGGGCTCAAAATTTCCGGCCGATAAAGGCTTGATCACCTTTTCCACAGGGTATAATTCCTTTTTGGGCCATTTCTAACCGGTTCAAATGGAACTTCTCCATCATTATTATTTTTCTCCTATTGGTTTCCTACTTTTCGTTCCGCAAAAAGAAACTATTCCAAATAATAATAATAATAATAATTAAAGTGCTAGTTTTTCCTCTATCTTTTCCTGATAATTGACATATAAAAAGAAAGCAAAAAGTTTGGTGTTAATGGATAAGCATGCGCTTTGTTTCTGTTAGACAAATCAAAACTTATTTCTCAATTAAATCATTGTACGTAGTTACATTATTATTATTAATTCTTCATCGTAAAACTTGTTTAGTTGAACCCGAGAAAAAAAGGGGACAGAAAACACTCAGAGATCCGTAGAACAGAGAAGAGGAGAAATTGCATGGCCCTCAATCTGGCTGGAAAAGCATCTCTGCATTGTTATGACTGTTGGAAGAGCCGATCATCAATGCATTTGGTTGTGATTTTTGTTTTGGGATAACACATTAGATTGTGATTTATGACTACATATTAACAAATGGAGCATCTTTCTGAATATGAACCCCGGCCCACAATCTAATTGCAAGGCATGCGCATGATGAAGGCCTAGGACCCTGCACATATATCTGTCCCCAACACTTTCGATATCTTTGAAGGTGACATTTAATATCTACCTTTTCGGTTCGTCTCTTTATGTGCACATTGTTGGGGAAAACGGGTTATTTCTCACACGAACGTAGTTTTAAAATTAACCTAAAATGTTAAGATTAAAACCATCAAAGGTTGCACAGCGGATAAACCTGTCAAACTATTGAATATTGAAACACAATGGAAAAGAACTGAATAAAAAACAATAAAGGAGAGAACACACCAAATTTACGAGGTTCGACGAAAATATCGTCTACTCCTCGGGCACCACACCGGATGATAACTTCACTATATCGCCAATATTACAACAAATGGAATTTTTTGGAATTCCCAAAGTGGGAGAATGAAGAATACAAGAGGAAGAGATAACTTGTTTTTGGGATGATTTCTAATGGAAATACTTAGGCCTATTTATAGTTGAGTTTCAAGAACAATATGTTCAAAGTTTGGCCACCTACCAAAGAATTTTCCAATGTGTACAAGTTAGCCACCAAATATGAAATTCACATGTTCAAAGTTTGGCCACCAACCAAGATGAAATTTCCAATAAGTTGGCCAGCAACCAAGATGAAATTTCCAACTTGTCAACTTAATTTCTAGACAAATCTAACAAATCTCCACCTTGGCTTGAAATTACCAAGCCTACTCAACTTCTTCAACTCCCCAAATTTGTAGTGCCTCTAATTGCGCTCACAAGCGCCACACACCCGAAGGTGTTCATACTTTTAGGATGTTAATTAAGTTCAAACAATGATTGAACTTGATTACTGTTACCACCTTGGTCATCATATCTGCAGGATTTTCTGATGTCACAATTTTCTGAAGTAGAATCTTTCCTTCTTCAAAGATCTCCCGCACAAAGTGATA